CAATCAAAAACTCCGCCCACATGAACTTTATGGTTTTATGTAATAAGAAGGTGTGTCTGCCAGTGTGGTCCCACACATCACTCCACCCAAACTTCCACGTATAGCTCCGCCCACATTTCCACCTAAAACCCCTCCCACATGAACTGTATTTTTTTTGTCATTAGAAAGTGTGCCCACTGATGTGGCTTTACCCATGGCTACGCCTACAGTTCCACTAATTGCTTCGCCTACATGTACTGAATGGCTTATGTAATCATGTCCACTGACTCCACCCATGACTCCGCCCACACCTTAAAATATAGCTTCTCCCAAATGAACTGTATGGCTTTACGTAATTAGAAAATATTTTATGTAATAGGTGTACACATACATAACTGTATGGGTTATGTAATCATGTTCACTGGTTTGGCTCCGCCCACACATCAAAATATATCTTCCCCCAAATGAACTGTATGGCTTTATGTAATTAGAAAACAATAAAGAACTCCGCCCACATAAACTTTATGGTTTTATGTAATTAGAAGGTGTGTCCGCCAATGTGGTCCCACACATGACTCCACCCAAATGATGAGGCGACAACCACGACTCCACCCACACTTCCACAATAGTTCTGCCCCATGTGAACTATATTTGAATACAATTAGAAAATGTGTCTACTGATGTGTTCACACTCATGACTTCCACCTAAAACTCCGCCCACATGAACTGTATGCTTTTATGTAATTAGAAAGGGTGTCCACCAATGTGTCCACACCCATGACTCCGCCCACACTTCCACCTATAACTCAGCCCACATGAACTGTATGTCTTTATGTAATTAGAAAGTGTCCACTGTGACCACACCCATGACTCCACCCACCCTTCCACCTACAGCTCCGCCCCACGTCAACTATTGTTGTACATATTTAGAGAGCGTCCACTAATGTGGCCACACCCATGACTCTGCCCACACTTCACCTATAACTCCGCCCACATAAGCTGTATGTCTTTATGTAATTAGAAAGTGTGTCCACAGATGTGGCCGCACCCATGACTCCACCCACTTTTTCATCAGCCTACAGCTCCGCCCCATGTCAATCGCATGGCTTTATGTCAATAGAAGGTGGGACCACATAAAGTAGCCCCACCCACATTGCTACAGTGGCTCCGCCCACATTTCCACCTGCCTTTTACACATTATTCTGCATCGTATAATACAAATTAGTTTTGCATAAATTTACATATTAAACCACATTCCTGATTTACCATTTTTCCCAGTGTACAACATCAACAAACTAAAAGTGTGGCATCAAAAACAAAAACAAAACAAGAATCTTGAACTTATAACAATGGGTGCATTTTAACAACAGATTGGCCGTAAGTGTTGGTTCTAACATGTGTACATATAGATATTGATCTCGTACTAATATGCTACATATTCTAAATTCTCTAAATAAGCAGTTATATTAAATTATTATGCAATTTAGAGCATGTACACAATATCACTGACCATTTCATTCACATGTGCTGTTGATGATGATGTTGATGAGGATCATTCTTCATGCTGTCTAATTGAATTGTTAGTGGTTTGTTTATTGCTGGTTTGATGTGAAATCTGAAAAGTGCAATGTTCACGTTGCATTATTTATGGGTGTGAACAGAAACATGCAGTTCCAAAGGTGGATGTTCTGGCTGTAAACGCCGGTAATGCGCAGCTAATGAGTTTACAACTTATAATTACGGTGGAATTGAAGGTGTGAATGAAGCTCGGTTCATTCATCCTCATATTCATTTGCATGTTTAATGATGGAGGGTAAAAAAGCACACTCTGTGATGTTTTTAAGGATCCCACATGAGAGGTGTTTTCATATTAGCATCAGTCTTGTCAGTGTCAGATTATACAATCACACAAAATATGAACAATTCAACAGGTTCAGCGTGTTTTTCACACCAAAATCAGTTATTTTTTGTCATTTTATTTGTAGAGCGGCATGGTGGCTCAGTGATTAGCACTGTGCTTCTCAGCTTTGTGTGTTTTGCTATAAAATCATGTTAATAAATAAATTATTGATATTTTTACTATTACACAAGAGAAAATTTTGAGGAAAAAATGTGCTTAAGCAGCCTGAAAATAAAGACTTATATTTGTTTTATTAAACAAATACTAAATTGAGTAAATATATTTGACTTATTAAAGTGTTTTTTATTTTTAATTGTGCACATTTTATTATAAAATACACTCACCAGCCATTTTATTAGGTACATCCTACTTAGGTTAGACCCCATTTTGCCATCAGAACTGTTTTAATCCTTCGTGGCATAGATTCAACAAGGTACTGGAAATATGAACATTTCCAAAATACCAGTAGATCAGCAGTTTCCGACTGAGTGTACTAGCTGGCCACTTTATTAGGTACACCTCTCTAACTGCTCGTTAACACAAGTTTATAACCAGCCAATCACATGGCAGCAACTCAATGCATTTAGGCAAGTAGACATGGTCAAGAGGCATGGTTGTTAGTGACAGACGGGCTGCTATGAGTATTTCAGAAACTGCTGATCTACTGGGATTTTTATGCACAATCATCTCTAGAATTTACAGAGAATGCTCCGACAAAGAGGAAATATCCAGTGAGCGGCAGTTCTGTGGGCGCAAATGCCTTGTTGATGAGGCCAGAGGTCAGAGGAGAATGGCCAGACTGGTTCCAGCTGATAGAAAGGCGACAGTAACTCAAATAAGCACTCGCTACAACCGAGCTCTGCAGAAGAGCATCTCTGAACACACAACACGTCCAACCTTGAGGCGGATGGGCTACAGCAGCAGAAGACCACACCGGGTGCCGCTCCTGTCAGCTAAGAACAGGAAACTGAGGCTACAATTCACACAGACTCACCAAAACTGGACAATAGAAGATTGGAGAAACGTTGCTGCTCTGATGAGTCTCCATTTCTGCTGACACATTCAGATGCTCGGGTCAGAGTTTATCATCAACAACATGAAAGCATGGATCATCCTGCCTTGTATCAGCGGTTCAGGCTGGTGGTGGTGGTGTAATGGTGTGGGGGAGATTTTCTTTGGGTCCATTAGTACCAATTGAGCATCAACGCCACAGCCTACCTGAGTATTGCTGCTGACCATGTCCATCCCTTTATGAGCACAGTGTCTCCATCTTCTGATGGCTACTTCCAGCAGGATAACGCAGCATGTCATAAAGCGTGAATCATCTCAGACTGGTTTCTTGAACAAGACAATGAGTTCACTGTACTCAAACGGCCTCCACAGTCACCAGAGCTCAATCCAATAGAGCAGCTTTGGGATGTGGTGGAACGGGAGATTGGCATCATGGATGTGCAGCCGACAAATCTGCAGCAACTGTGTGATGCTATCATGTCAATATGGAGCAAAATCTCTGAGGAATATTTCCAGTATCTTGTTGAATCTACGCCAAGAAGGATTTAGGCAGTTCTGAAGGCAAGCCCGGTACTAGTAAGGTGTACCTAATAAAGTGGCCGGTAAGTGTTTAATAAAACAAGTCAGAAACATTGTAAATATAAAACTAATCCAAAAATAGCACTGACACTATTTTAGTAAATAACAGATACTTTCAATTCTTTAAAAGATACTGCATGACTAATATCACACACTGAGAAAAGTGATGCATTGCATTTACTATGTTTTATTAAGGTGAGTGGCTGCAAACAATTGATATGGGCTGAGTTTGATCATTACTGCATTTAATTTGTCTGTATAAATTCGGCCCAGAGCGATACGGTGGCGCAGTAGGTAGTGCTGTCACCTCACAGCAAGAAGGTTGCTAGTTCGAGCGTCGGCTGGGTCAGTTGACGTTTCTGTGTGGAGTTTGCATGTTCTCCCTGCGTTCGTGTGGGTGTCCTCCGGGTGCTCCGGTTTTCCCCACAGTCCAAAGACATGCACAGGTGAATATGGTCCGTAGTGTATGAGTGTGTGTGTGTGTGTGTGTGAATGAGTGTGTGTGGATGTTTTCCAGAGATGGGTTGCGGCTGGAAGGCCATTCGCTGCGTAAAAATATGCTGGATAAGTTGGCGGTTCATGCCACTGTGGCGACCCCGGATTGATAAAGGGACTAAGCCGACAAGAAAATGAATGAATGAATGAATGAATGAATGAATGAATGAATGAAATTCAACCCATATAAATTGTTTGCATCCACTTACCTTAAAAAATCTAGAGTACATGCAATGAATCAATATTGTCAGTGTAGGAGAGTTTTGAAGCAGCAGAAGAAAATGCAGCAGGAATAAATTGGTTGTTTTTGTGTTGTTTTTGTCCTGTGCATGAACGTTTCTCTCTCTTTGTCCATTTTTGCAGGTCGAAGCTGCCAGAATTCATCAAAATGATGAGCAATCACTTCCTATGACAGCGTCATTTCTGCCCAAACAATCAACCAGTGGACCCGAGCGCCGCTGTCCTGACTGAAGAACACTGTAAATGAGGGAAAATCAGCAGTAAAGCGGCGCCGTACCTTCCTCCAAGCATTCCCTGTTTTTTACGTATACACACACACACATGCACACACACACTCGAGGGTGGATTTCTCCAAACATATCATGGCGTTGGCGTGTGGAGAGCGGATCCTGTAGCTGTGCCTCATGGAAAAAAAAAAAACTGGAAAAAACGCACGCAATAAAGGGACCAGAGTAAGCGCAGAGAGCGTGGAGCGTTTTTCATCAGTCCATCCAGCCCTCCAGACCCCGAAAGATGCAATTTCACCACCAGAAAACTTCAACCGACGTGCCTTTTAGAGCTCATATCATCACCCGACTGGAGGAGTACGGAGCCAGATTAGTCTCAGAAATAATTCACGCAGAAACAACACGAAAAGCACCATGAGTAGCCAAACTCACATGCATGAAGCCAAACTCACGTGAACATTATGTTCATATATATTCACAAAAGCGATTCACGTTCACAAATGCATATCCATAAAATATGCTAAGTGCGCGCATGCTAATTTATTTGTGTAAACTTGAGTTTAAAAGACACCATATGTGAACATGTTTTTCTCCGTCCGCCATGCTGGATAGAGGATTGAAGGTGCAGTGTGTGGGATTGACACCTAGTGGGTGAGCTAGGTATTGCAGTGTAAATTCAAAATATTAGAGAGGATATTATTTTTTAATAGACGGTGCCTCCCATGACTATACAACACTGACAGGTTGCCAGATTGATGACACCAATATGAATGAGCCAAAAGCAAACTAAGTATTCAGGTATTATTATTATTATTATTGTTATTATTATTATTATTATTTTTATTATTATTATTATTATTGTTGTTGTTGTTGTTATTATTATTGTTATTATTATTACTATTAATATTATTATTAATATTAATAACAACAATAATAATAATAATAATAATAATAATCATAATCATAATCATAATCATAATCATAATAATAATGTTATTATATTATTATTATTATTATTATTATTAAAATATTATCAAATAAGTTAAGTCAACTCAAACCATTTGAGGAAACCGATTGCAACAACCCATTTAAGTTCAAAAACTAATCTATATGAGTGCTGTGAACTTATCTAAATTGAAGTAATGAGGTATTTAATTAACTCATTACCTTCAACACTGAGTTCAAAACTCTTTTCAAATGAGTGGAATTAACTTTCAGTCAATTTTGAGTTGACTACACTCAAATGCACTCAGTTAGACAGGTGTACCTAATAAAGTGGCCAATTTTATTTGATAAAGTTGACTGTTAGGCCTCTGCATACATTAAGACAGCCTTTATTTCTTTAAATGAAATACTGAGTTTATCACAATCTGGCAACCTGGGGTGCTGAAATATAATTGGCTAAACAACATGCAATAGGCGGAGTTACAGAGATCAAAGCAGAGATGGACATTCGGAAATGGAACGCACATTCTCAAAGCAGAAAAAAGGACATTAGTATTGTTTTTCAGATAAACAAACATGTTTACTTAGCATGTTAGCAAATATCCGCAAACATATTCTGGTGCTTTTATATGTTAGAAGAGTCAAAAATGTACATACTGCACCTTTAATTGCTTGCATTCTAAATTAGTTCAGATTACGCAAAAGAAAGCATAGTGCAAAGTAACCTCGATTACAGTGGGCTGTGATTGGTTGAATAGTAAGCTCACATCTGGTTGGCTAACCAAAAATCTAAGTCTATTCACATGTTAAAGGCAATTTGCACCTTCATGTATTTTTATCACGTGCACATGAATTGTTTTCGTGAATATAAGCATACATATTTTTGTGCACGTGAATTTAGCTTGGCGGCACGGTGGCTTAGTGGTTAGCACTGTAGCCTCACAACAAGAAAGTTGCTGGTTTGAGTCCCGGCGTGGGTTTCCTCCGGGTGCTCCGGTTTCCCCCACAGTCCAAACACATGCGCTATAGGGGAATTGATTAACTAAATTGACCGTAGAGTATGAGTATGTGTGTGAGAGTGAGTGTGTATGGATGTTTTTCAATACTGGGTTGCAGTTGGAAGAGCATACACTGCTGTGTAAAACATATGCTGGAATAGTTGGCGGTTCATTCCGCTGTGGTGACCCCTGATAAATAAGCCACTAAGCCGACAAGAAAAATGAATGAATGAGTTGGCGGTTCATTCCACTGTGGCGCCCCTTGATAAATAAGGGACTAGGCTGAAGGAGAATGAATGAATTATTAAATTTAGTTTCATGCATTTGAATCTGGCTACGCATTATGTTTGTTGTGTGTTTGTGTGAAATGTTTTTGGCACTAATGTAGCTCCATAGCGGAGAACTTTTACCAGAACTCTCTAGGATGCAAAAGTAGGACAAGCGTTAGTCATTAGGTCTATGCAGTCAGGCGTTTTACGGCCTGGAGTTTAAAAAAACAAAAGAAAACAAAAAAAGAAGTCAAAAGTATTTTTTTGGATAAACTGTATTTAATGTACTGTATGGCTGTATATGTAATTAGAAGGTGTGTCCAGCCCCGCCCACAGCCCCGCCCACCTGTCGTTATA